GTACTGCTTTCCGATTTTAAATTGTCGTAAGATTTCCGCCTTCGGACAGCTGATAGAATTTTGCAATGAAAAGACGGCATACACCATAAGTGTCTTTCGCTTAATTTGCGGAACCCACAAACACTGCTGCTACCTAGGAGCCCTCGGACGCCGAAAAGTGTTGTCTGCTTAATCGCTCAATTTGTTATATTGCTTATTAGAAGTAGAGAATTCATCTTCGATTCGATTATGTGTGGCATATTCTATTATCCTTGTGGAAAATAGTTGCGTCTGCTCAGGTAACAGCAAGAACAGAGGGAGTGCAAAAAGCAGTGCTTTCTGATGTTAAGCGTCGTAAGATTTTACGCGTTCGGACGGCAGAAAGCACTTTGCTAAGAAAACAGCAAACACAGTAAATGTATTGTGCTTACGTTACAGAACCCGGAACCACTGATGCTACCGAAACCTCCGAGGCAACGGAGGCAGAAACGAGCGGTAAGCTTAATCGCTCTATTTTTACATTGTTTATCAGAAGAAGTGAGCACATAAACCCTGGTTATGGATATTCCTTTATCCTTTGGCCTTTTGATTTCGATTACGTGGGGCATATTATGGAGGCATAAAGTAATCTTTTTGAAAAACGTGGCGTCAGAATGAACAGGGGGAGTGGAAATATACTGCTTTACAACGTAAAGTATCAAAAAAATCTCTGTTTTTGGTCTGCAAATAGCATTTTGCTAAGAAAATTGCATACAAAATCAATTTACTGCGCTTACTTTACAGAACCCGGAACCACTGGAGCTACCGAAACCACCGAGACCACGGACGTCGAAACAACGGGTTAGTTTAATCACTTGATTTATTGTATTGCTTATTAGAAGCATTGAACGTATCTTCAATTCGATTAAATGTAACATATACTGAAGGAATAACATTCATATATCGGTTATTAATGTTTATTCCACTGCTTATGCTAAGTTTCCATCCATAAAACCCTATAATCACGGGGTTCGTAGGACATTATGCTGGGAATAGGATTTAATGAGGTGCATTACATAAACGTCTGCTGTTGCTTAACATAATATTTGTGAAAAAGAAATGCGCCTACTTAGTTCACAGCAAGAACGGAGGTAGGGAAAAAGGTAGTCCTTTCCGATGTGAAGTGTCGTACGTTTTCTGCCTTTGAAGTGCAGATAGCATTTTGCTAAGAAAGCAGCACACAGCATAAATGTATTTTGCTTATTCTATAGAACACGAGACCACTGCTGCTACCAAAACCTCCGGGCCAACGGAGGCTGAAACAAACGGTAAGCTTCCTAGTTCAATTTGTTTCATTGCTTATTAGTAGCAGGGAACGCATAAAACTTGGTAATGGGTATTCTTTTATCCTTTGGAAACTTCAATTCTTTTAAATGCGCAATATGCTGGAGGTATTGCTCACATTTTTGTGAAATTGTTCCGTCTACGCAGTTTGAAGCAGGAGCAGAGGAAGTAAGAAAAGAAGTGCTTGCCCATGTTAACTTTCGTAGGATTTCTGCAGATAGTATTATGCAAGACAAAGGTCACACAGCATGCATTTTTTGTGCTTATTTTTGCAGGACCGGTGACCACCGCCGAGACCACAGAGGCGCAAACATCCGGTACGCTTAATCGCTAATTTTTTTACCATGCCAATAAGATGCAGCCTGCGCATTGTACCCCGTAAGAAATATTCCTCTGAGTTGCATTATTTTCCCCATATACTGGAAGTAATGATAGCCCGTGAGCAAGATAATTTGATACGCTCAGTTTATCGTTGTAGCTGGAGATGGAAGTAGTAGTCTTTTTTTTAGTTTTAAGCGTCATTGTCTCTCTGCATTCCTTCGTTATATGGCATCATGCAAGCAAAAACAAACAGCATGACAGTTTTTGTACTTGTCGTGTTCATCATCTCCTATAGATGAGAAACAAGAGGTGACGACGACATTGAGCGAATTATATTGAGACTGACGTTTCGGACACTCGCTCAGTTCCATCGTTAGAACAACTGAGTAATAGTTCCTGTTTGCAGGGCCTGTTTCAGCCTTGCCATGAACCTGATATTATATAGCACTATAGTATTATACAAAGCAGAGGGCACACAACATGAATGTTTTTGTGCTTATTTTTGCAGGATCCGTGACCACTGCTAATAGCAGCACAGCTGTGAGCACGGAGACGCAAACACCCGGTACGCTTAATCCCTCATCTCTTTACATAGTTAATGAGATGCAACCTGCGCATACTACCCTACAAGAAATATTCCTTTATCCATAAGTTGTTTTAAGTCAAATTGGTTTTGGCATATATTGGAAGTAATGATAGACCGAGAGCAAAAGAGCTTGATATAATTAGCTTACAGTTGTACCTGGGGGGTGTAA